AGCCTCCTGAGTAGCTGGTATTACAGGTGTGCGCCACCACACCCAGCTAATTTTTGTATTTTTAGTAGAGATAGGGTGTCACCTTGTTGGCCAGGCTGGTCTCGAACACCTGACCTCAAGTAATCCGCCCACAAAATACTGGGATTACAGGTGTGAGCCACTGCAGCGGCCTTTTTTTTTTCTTTTTTTGAGTCAGGGTCTCACTTTGTTGCCCAGGCTGGATGTAGTGGCAGAATCACGGCTCACTGCAGCCTTGACTGCCCGGGCCTAAGCCATCCTCCCACCTCAGCCTCCCAAGTGGCTGGGACTACAGACTTGCACCACCACACCAAGCTAAAGTGTTGTTTTGTTTTTTTTGTAGAGACAGTTTTGCCTTGTTGCCCAGACAGCGATCCTCCTGCTTCAGCTCCCCAAAGTGCTGGGATTACAGGCGTGAGCCGCCACACCCGGTCACTTTCTTACCTAAAATACCTGCACACCCTGCTTGGAGACTCTAGGGTGAGGGGAGTGGGGAATAGGAGAATCTGACAGTAGAGGATAGATGTAAGGAGGAGAGGGACAAGTTTGCTGTGTGGTGGGATGCTCCAGGGCTGGGGGTGCCTAGGGATCTACCTCTCTCCCAGGCTGTGGAATTATCCTCCCCACACTCACTGTTTCTCTAACCTTGGCTATCTCCTCCTGCCTTTGGGATGTCTAATGGGCCTGAGAGACCTCCCAGCTGCTCTAGGTCATCTCACTGCAGCCATGTGCCCCATTTGGTACTGTCAAAGCTGCTGGAATATTATCGCCTTTCCAGAACCATCCTTGGGGCAAGATCAGGACCTCAGGCTGCCAGGGGCTCAGAGCCCTGCTGGGTCTTCCTGGGGCCCCTGGTCCACATGCATCTCCCCTAAGCCTTACGGCCCTTCGAGAGGCAGCACTTCTAGCCTGCCATTGGTTTTAGCTTTTGCCCTATGAAGATCTTGTGATTTCTGCCCCAGCATGGGGCAGCAGGAACCTCAAGCACAGTGCCTGGGGCCAAGAGAGTCACAATGGACTTGCCCCAGGTCAGGCCTGCACTTGCCTTGTGTCAGGGTATCTCCCCAGGTTGCTGGCCTCCTCAACCCCCACACTGACCTGTTTCCCCAGCTTTATCTCTGGCACCCCAAACTCAGCAGCCCCGACCCCACTTCCCGAGCACCCCCTGTGACTGGTTCTGCACCTGTCATGGTGTCCTGGCAGCAGTCTGGGAGAGTATTTCAGTTACCCCCGGTATTCTGGGGAGGCTGGAGCAGAGGGGTCCACTCACTGATTGCCACGGTCACAGAATAAGACTTGAATTGTGCACTGGAGGCCCTGCGGCCTTGCATGAGCCTGGTAGGCCTCTCCCCTCCTGCTTCCAACCCTCCACCTGGGAGGCCAGCCTGCCCAGGGCTGCTCTGCCACTTAGCAGCTGTGTGGCCCTGGAGAGTCCCTAACCTCACTGAACCTCAGTTTCTCCGCTTGTGAAATGGAGATAATACAAAGAGAACCTTCCTTCTCAGGCTGTTGTGATGGGTAAGGAAATAAATGCATGCAAAATCACAGCCGTAGTTATTATGAGGCACACTGTCTTCCTGGCTGCAGGAGATTCTGAGGGTGGGTGGGGGGTGGGGCAGCCAGATCATCACGTGCATGAAATGGGGGCAGGCTGGTTGGAGATGGAGGGCACCAGGCCCAAGCACTGCCATCTGCCCCGTGATGGGACTCTCCTATGGCAGTGGCAACGGTCCCACTGTGGAAGCGACACATGAGCTGAGAGGACTTGCCTGAACTGAGCCACATGTGCCCTTCAGGCCTGGGCACCCCACCACCTCCTCCCAGTGTGACCCATGCAGGGCCTGTTCCTGACCCTGAGCAAGACCAAGACTTCCTGGGCTGCGTTTCCTATCTGTAAAATTGTAGGAGGGTGGTGGGGTTGGGGGGCTCGAACTTGCCCCCTAGTGGGGTGGGGCACAAATAGTCCCAGAGGATGGCCTGGGAAGACCGGCTGGGCCTGGCACAGGGCACTATTACTGCTGTCATTATTGTCCTCCTTACAGGAGAGGAGAGTAAGGCCCAGACAGGGGAGGAACCCACACAGCCTCTGTGCTCTAGCCTGCTGGAAGGACAAAGTCTACCTACAAATGCAGAGATCCACACATTAAAGACAATGAAACACCCAAGTGTTAGGAACCAGAATAATCAGCCCTAATAGAGGGGAGGCTGGTCAGGGAGGGCTTCCTGGAGGAGGAGGCACAACACCAGGGTGCACTGTGATTTCTGGAGACCTAAGGAGTTCTGGTAAATGACAGGTGAGAAAAAGAAAAATGTAATAAAATATAATTGAAAATAGACCCTGGTACGTGTGGAGAGAGGGCCGGAAGGAACCTAGGACACAGGTGAACCTGAGCTCCCCCACCCAGTGAAGGGAGCTGTGGGCAGTAAGGTTTGATTGGGGTTTTCTTTCTTGTGGAGGTTTCTCAGAGTGATTCAAGTTCCCCCACCCCGCCCACAGTGGTTCTGAGACTTTGGAAAGAAAGAAAAGTAAAAAAGAAGCAGACCCTGCCCGCGCCCCAGCTGGGCATCCCTGGGAGGTCGCGAGGATCCCCGGAGACCCAGACCCGGGTCCGGGACGCCCCCTGCCA